AATTTTACTAAATGACCCGAATCGAGCGGCGCCCAAGGGAATTTTACTAAACGACCCTCATCGGGCGGGACGTTTCAATAGCTAATTCGCTTCTTTTTATGCTATTACCTTATAATATCATGATTGCGGGTATTCCCGTTGTTCTGGCAGGGCCATTAAAAACCAATTAAAAATAAATAATGGTATAAATTAAATGGTATAATTGTTTTCCCTGTCTTTGTTTAGTTTTGGCGATTTCAGATATCTTCATTTATATTCATTTTTTCTAATCGTACCCGCTTTGACGTCGTTTCGGGTAGGATTAGAACTAATTCTACCTGACATGACGTAAAAGCGGGTAGAATTAGAAAAAATGAATATAATGAGGTGTATTAGTTATTAATTGCCCTGCGAGAACAAAGGGAATACCCGCAATCATGATATTATCAAAAATATAGAGTGTGTGCGAGAATAAACTAAAGTCAGACTGACGAGCATGCTACACAAGTAACAACGCACAAGTTGTTCCAGGTCTGCAAACAAGTTGTTACAAATCTGTTCACAAGCTGTCAACAAGTTGTGTTCGCACTGCTTGTTCCCAGTTGTTGTAACAAGTTTGGAACAAGCTGTTAAGTATAGGTAATAGCATGGTTTCGAGTGCAATTTGGATATAACATGCACGAGTGAGTTTTTCAAAGACCTCAAAATAGCACGAGTCCGAAGGACGGGTGCTATTTGAGGTCTTTGAAAAACTCACGAATGCATGTTTATCCAAATTTCACGAGAAAGCATGCTATTATTAATAATTTACATAAAAAATGTTCGAGACAATTGTAGTTTTAACTTACGCGTTTATAGCGAACATTCCACCGGCAAAGTTTTCCTGGCTTTGTTATATCACATTTACAACGCTAACAGCTTGAAAATTCCACTCAAATTTGAAGCAATCTGTGAGCGTTACTTCTTTAAACTATATTGCTTTAAACTGATTGGTTGATTTAATCATCACAATGTTTTTCCACCAATCAGATGAGTTTGTTACAGATTTTTGCACTGTGATTACAGAAAATTGCACTGTGATTACAAAAAATTGCACTGCTGTTTGGGATTAACTGCACTGAAATCAACCAATCACAGTCGAGTAATATCTTTATGTATATTATTACAATTTGTAACAAGCTTGATATGGCGTTATCAGACTTGTTACAAGCTTGTTCTAACAAGTCTGATACAGTCAAGAATGTTACATGCAAGGCTGACGACACAATGTTATAACAATATTGTTATATCATGACTCCATCGCACTTGTTGGAACAACCTTGCAACAAGTCTGATAATGCATGTCATCAAGCTTGTTGCAAGTTGTTATAACAGCTTGTAAAAAGCTTGTCGATATTATCAGACTTGTTGCAAGGTTGTTCCAACAAGTCCGATACAGAAGACGAGTAGAAATGAACAATTAATCACCAACTCGAACCAACTTCACCTCGTAGCTCAGTTGGTAGAGTATTGGACTAGTATCCCACAGGTCGTAGGTTCGATTCCCACCGTGGTCACGCAAACTTTTCAGCCTGCCGGTGTGGATGAACACTCAAGGCTAGTTTCCACTCAGGAAAATTATCCGTGGATTGGAACGGACAAGAAAATTCATGTTCTTGCATGTCCGTTCCAATCCACGGATAATTTTCCTGAGTGGAAACTAGCGGTGATTGCTAGATAAGTATTCTTCAAAGTGAGGTTTCCGTTTTTATAACGTAGAAAAAACTATCCTAACGGAAAACTAAACCCAAACACTAACCCCAACCCTAACCCCAACCCTAACCCTAAAGCCTGGTTCACATATATGCCTGCGACGTACCGGCGACGATGCCGGTGCTAGCTTTACTGTCGTTCCAATTGAAGTGTTGCTCAAATATTGATTCAATACATTACCTCGGGCTGACCAATTCATTTCATCAAGTTCCTCGAGATATTCATACACTTCCTAGTATAATTGT